CCTGTTTTAAGACCTGTTTTAAGACCTGTTTTAAGACTTGTTTTAAGACCTGTTTTAAGACCTGTTTTAAGGCCTGTTTTAAGACCTGTTTTAAGGCCTGTTTTAAGGCCTGTTTTAAGACCTGTTTTAAGGCCTGTTTTAAGACCTGTTTTAAGACCTGTTTTAAGACTTGTTTTAAGACCTGTTTTAAGACCTGTTTTAAGACCTGTTTTAAGACCTGTTTTAAGGCCTGTTTTAAGACCTGTTTTAAGACCTGTTTTAAGACCTGTTTTAAGGCCTGTTTTAAGACCTGTTTTAAGACCTGTTTTAAGACCTGTTTTAAGGCCTGTTTTAAGACCTGTTTTAAGACCTGTTTTAAGACCTGTTTTAAGGCCTGTTTTAAGACCTGTTTTAAGACCTGTTTTAAGACCTGTTTTAAGGCCTGTTTTAAGACCTGTTTTAAGACCTGTTTTAAGGCCTGTTTTAAGACCTGTGCTCATGAGCTATGGGACAGTGACCGAAAGAATAAGATCATGGATACAAGCGGCCGAAATGAGTTTCCTCTGGAGGGTGTCTGGGCTCAGCCTTAGAGAGAGGGGGGTTCCTCCGCCTCACTTTAGAGGTTTTCCAGGCACGGCCAACTGAAAAGGGAGACCCCGGGGCAGACCCAGAATACGCTGGAGGGATTATATATCCCGTTTAACCTGGAAACGCCTTGGAATCCCCCAGGAGGAACTGGAAAGTGTTGCTGCACCTGCTGCCACTGCGACCCGACCTCAGATAAGTGGAAGAAAATGGATGGGTGGATGTTTTCAGAGTTTTGGCGCAATCTGTAACTAGTGGTCGAGTTTTCTTTCCTTATTTCCTTCGACGTCATTGAACGTAACTGGACAGGAGTGCTGTAGACAGCCACTGTTACCTGAAGAAGAACACACCAAGGAAACTCTGCTTCTGCAAACCAGAAAGACAACAGAGCATTGCTATTGTCTCAAGTCTGACTCCTGCTGCCGTCTCTTTTCATCTGCCACGGAAACCTGCCTGAATCTGTTGATTCAACAGATTGAAGACCAACTGAACCTTGAAACAGTCATCAGAAAAGTGATTCCAAGTAAGGCTTTAGTCTGGGCACAGAGTAGTTTAGGAAGGTTTCTTTTATAATCACTGATAATTATGCATCATTGTTGACGTCACATTCTGTTTATTATCTGTTGTAAGCTGCTGCATTTGTTTTATTGTAATGAACTGCTGTGTTCGTCTATGTGTTTAATGCTATGCTAGTTTACCTTCAGTCAACGGCTTTCACAATCAGAAAGACCAATGTACCCGCCGTTGAATCAAAGTCCGGCCACTGGCTTTCTGGTGTTTAAGTAACAGTTACTGAACTCAGCTCAGAGAGTTCAAACTATTTCAAAAGGCAGCCACACGGCTTCCTTTGTTGTCCACCATTTTGTACCTACGTGACGTAGCTTCACATGGTGCCCTCTATCCCCCCCCCCCTTTCATCAACACATACTCACATCAGCACTCATGACCACACACACACACACACAACATGTTCCACGCTGTTTGCTTGTAAATACTTTGTTTGCTGTAGTTTAGTTTACGATAGTTATTTCTTTGATTGCGTTTCATTGGTTGACTTGATGTTGCTTTGTTAGATAAATTCTGTTATACTTTAAGAGAGCAGTTGTTTGTGATTACTGGTGTATTTACATTGTGATATAAGCTGGGTGAGAAGGCTTTGTGTACGGATTTCACGCCTTCAATTTTATTCAATTAAATATAGTTATTCATTATTAATAATATTAGTATTTGATTAATTAATTCAGGACTGATTTTGTGATATTTGGTTAATTGTTCTTTATTCGTCAAGTAGTTCTGGATGTGCAGCCGACAAATCTGCAACAACTGTGCTATGTGCAAGATGCTATCATGTCAATATGGACCAAAACCTCTAAAGAAATGTTTCCAGCAGCTTGTTGGGTTAGGGTTCCGAAGGGGGTCCAACCTAATGAAGTGGCCGATGAGTGTATATGAAATATACTTTTAGACACATGTATACATATAATGACTTGTATATGTTTGTATTTGATTGAATAGTATATCCTGGTATTTTTGAAGTATTGATTAGTGATGCTGTTTCAGATGCCGTGGCTCTGTGGAGACTCCACCATGATGGAGATGATTGAGAAGAAAAGAGTTTTGTGTCGAGAGATTAAAGCTCGTCAGCGTCCAGAGAAGAATCTGTGTAAACAAGACAGCATGCCCATCCTACCCAGCTGGAGGAGGAAGCAGCCACCGCCATATTCTGCCCCGCCCACCTCCACAGCTGGACACAGCAGCACGGTGTTCTGGGACACAGCCATCTGAAAAACACACCAACAGATGTTGGTTTGTTTGTTTGAACCACACAAAAACAACATGACAACAACAACAACAACAACAGATGTTTGAACAACACAAAAACAATCCAACAAGAACAGAGGCCCGTTTCAGAGAGCAGGTTTAGTTCAAACTCTGAGTTCAGTGGGGGGGGGGTGGGAAGGTCACTCAAACCCAAGAAAGAGGGGTAACTCCAGTCCATTCCAGAGGGAGAGGTACCTCTGAGTCTGTTACTATGGTAACTGAGTCTGTGAACCTCACCTGGTCGGGAGTTTCTCTCTGACTCCGCCCTCTTTCATTCAGTCCGTATCACGCCGTGTTCGTGAAGATTCACCGTTTGTGTGTGTGTGTGTGTGTGTGTGTGTGTGTGTGTGTGTGTGTGTGTGTGTGTGTGTGTGTGTGTGTGTGTGTGTCTGTGTGTGTGTGTGTCTGTGTGTGTGTGTGTGTATACAGCTTTATGTTACATTCAGTCTGTGTTTAATATGTTCATAATATAAATAAACTGTAGCTTTAACACCATCAGTTATGACCTGCACTATTAGAATTCATTACACGCTGACAGAAGACTTATTTTATGTTTCCTCTTCATATTCTCCGTATGTCCTCATGAACATGTTTCTATATCTATAGAAGTACCAGGATCTCTTTTTTATCTCCTGTTGCCATGGTGAATTGTTGTATCGTCATGGTGCTCACGATGAACACAGAGTGAACCTACTCAGAGACCATTGAACTCAAATCAGCTGATCTGGAACCAGAAAGTGAAAGTTTCCCCTCTGAGAGTAAATCAGCCCCGAGCTCAGAGTCAGACTGAGGGTTTGTTCAACCTGCTTTCAGAAACTGTCCCCTGATGTTTAAACAACACAACAACAACACAACAACAGTCAGGCCACGCCCACCACAACACTGTGTTATAAAAACCCCGGTGGTGGGTTTCCTCTCATTGTTTGATTGACAGAATTTGATGACTCCTCACTGCTGTCAACAAGAGTTAATAAAGTGTAATTTAAGACCCTGTTTACACCTGGTATCAACGTCACACCTGTGTGATCAGATTACAGGTGAACTCAGGTCATGTACGGAGGTGGTCTCTATAAACATCATATACAATGATCTTTGTAAACATGGGCGGAGTATCTGTGATATCATCATTGGTTTCTGAAGAAGAATTTTGAAGCCCATCTATGGCAGCCGTCATATTGGAAATGCTGACTCATCCTAACTTTAGATCAGTGATAGTGAACCCGAGGCTCTAGAGCCACATGTGGCTCATTTGGGACTAGTTGTGGCTCTTAGAGGTCCTACTTGGAAAAATAAATCCAGAGTAATTATTTGAAAAACGGGAAACATTGTCAGCAGAAATGATTCTTTGTAAGTCATGTCACTGTGTTTCCCACACATATTTTAGGAAAGAAAGAGGTTTTTAGATTTTGGCTCTTTCTGAAATATTTTTTAGTTAATGTGGCTCTGAAGTCTAACAAGGCTGAGTACCACTGCTTTAGTTCATTCTAGAAACAGACCTAGCGGAGGGGGGGCTTAAACCTCCTGACAAGTCGATTCTACACACCCACCTGTCAGTCAATGCAACCACACACCAAGTTATGATCATTTATGTAGAACTGTTGGCCTGAATAAAACCCAACAGTAGGAGGTTATCAGAGGTCATGATGTAGAGAGGTTATCAGAGGTCATGATGATGTAGAGAGGTTATCAGAGGTCATGATGATGTAGAGAGGTTATCAGAGGTCATGATGATGTAGAGAGGTTATCAGAGGTCATGATGATGTAGAGAGGTTATCAGAGGTCATGATGTAGAGAGGTTATCAGAGGTCATGATGTAGAGAGGTTATCAGAGGTCATGATGATGTAGAGAGGTTATCAGAGGTCATGATGATGTAGAGAGGTTATCAGAGGTCATGATGATGTAGAGAGGTTATCAGAGGTCATGATGATGTAGAGAGGTTATCAGAGGTCATGATGATGTAGAGAGGTTATCAGAGGTCATGATGTAGAGAGGTTATCAGAGGTCATGATGATGTAGAGAGGTTATCAGAGGTCATGATGTAGAGAGGTTATCAGAGGTCATGATGTAGAGAGGTTATCAGAGGTCATGATGTAGAGAGGTTATCAGAGGTCATGATGATGTAGAGAGGTTATCAGAGGTCATGATGATGTAGAGAGGTTATCAGAGGTCATGATGTAGAGAGGTTATCAGAGGTCATGATGTGGAGAGGTTATCAGAGGTCATGATGATGTAGAGAGGTTATCAGAGGTCATGATGATGTAGAGAGGTTATCAGAGGTCATGATGATGTAGAGAAGTTATCAGAGGTCATGATGTAGAGAGGTTATCAGAGGTCATGATGTAGAGAGGTTATCAGAGGTCATGATGTAGAGAGGTTATCAGAGGTCATGATGATGTAGAGAGGTTATCAGAGGTCATGATGATGTAGAGAGGTTATCAGAGGTCATGATGTAGAGAGGTTATCAGAGGTCATGATGTAGAGAGGTTATCAGAGGTCATGATGTAGAGAGGTTATCAGAGGTCATGATGTAGAGAGGTTATCAGAGGTCATGATGATGTAGAGAGGTTATCAGAGGTCATGATGATGTAGAGAGGTTATCAGAGGTCATGATGTAGAGAGGTTATCAGAGGTCATGATGATGTAGAGAGGTTATCAGAGGTCATGATGTAGAGAGGTTATCAGAGGTCATGATGTAGAGAGGTTATCAGAGGTCATGATGTAGAGAGGTTATCAGAGGTCATGATGTAGAGAGGTTATCAGAGGTCATGATGATGTAGAGAGGTTATCAGAGGTCATGATGATGTAGAGAGGTTATCAGAGGTCATGATGTAGAGAGGTTATCAGAGGTCATGATGTAGAGAGGTTATCAGAGGTCATGATGTAGAGAGGTTATCAGAGGTCATGATGTAGAGAGGTTATCAGAGGTCATGATGATGTAGAGAGGTTATCAGAGGTCATGATGTAGAGAGGTTATCAGAGGTCATGATGATGTAGAGAGGTTATCAGAGGTCATGATGATGTAGAGAGGTTATCAGAGGTCATGATGATGTAGAGAGGTTATCAGAGGTCATGATGATGTAGAGAGGTTATCAGAGGTCATGATGTAGAGAGGTTATCAGAGGTCATGATGTGGAGAGGTTATCAGAGGTCATGATGATGTAGAGAGGTTATCAGAGGTCATGATGTAGAGAGGTTATCAGAGGTCATGATGATGTAGAGAGGTTATCAGAGGTCATGATGTAGAGAGGTTATCAGAGGTCATGATGTAGAGAGGTTATCAGAGGTCATGATGTAGAGAGGTTATCAGAGGTCATGATGTAGAGAGGTTATCAGAGGTCATGATGTAGAGAGGTTATCAGAGGTCATGATGTAGAGAGGTTATCAGAGGTCATGATGATGTAGAGAGGTTATCAGAGGTCATGATGATGTAGAGAGGTTATCAGAGGTCATGATGTAGAGAGGTTATCAGAGGTCATGATGATGTAGAGAGGTTATCAGAGGTCATGATGTGGAGAGGTTATCAGAGGTCATGATGTAGAGAGGTTATCAGAGGTCATGATGATGTAGAGAGGTTATCAGAGGTCATGATGTGGAGAGGTTATCAGAGGTCATGATGTAGAGAGGTTATCAGAGGTCATGATGTAGAGAGGTTATCAGAGGTCATGATGATGTAGAGAGGTTATCAGAGGTCATGATGTAGAGAGGTTATCAGAGGTCATGATGATGTAGAGAGGTTATCAGAGGTCATGATGTAGAGAGGTTATCAGAGGTCATGATGATGTAGAGAGGTTATCAGAGGTCATGATGATGTAGAGAGGTTATCAGAGGTCATGATGTAGAGAGGTTATCAGAGGTCATGATGATGTAGAGAGGTTATCAGAGGTCATGATGATGTAGAGAGGTTATCAGAGGTCATGATGATGTAGAGAGGTTATCAGAGGTCATGATGTAGAGAGGTTATCAGAGGTCATGATGATGTAGAGAGGTTATCAGAGGTCATGATGATGTAGAGAGGTTATCAGAGGTCATGATGTAGAGAGGTTATCAGAGGTCATGATGATGTAGGGAGGTTGTTAACAGGTGAAGATTCCATGTGTGACACACAGACACACCCACATACACACAAACACATCCTGTTGTCCAATCACAATGCATGGAGGCGTGGCCGTTCAGGTGTAGCAGAGATTTCTGTCGTTATTTTTCTATTTAACGCTGAAAAAGATACACGCTGTTTTATAAAGTATTGGATGTCGTGTAGCAGAACGCTGTAAAACAATTATTTATAAATACTTCTATGTGTGAAAAAAGGTATGAAACATGATTTTTATATTCAGACTGTTCTGAAACGCTCGTCAGTGCGTGGCAGAAAGTCTACTGAGATGTTTTATATTTAAAAGACTTTATTATGACATTTAAAGTACTATTTTAAAGAAAAATTCCGTTGGCATGTTGGTAGATGATTTGGTCTCATCCAGCTTTTCAGACAGACAGACTGGTCACCACTTAACTCCAGTCTAGCTCCAGTTTAGATCCAGTTTAAATACAGATGAACTCCAGTTAAAGTACAGTTTCACTCAGTTTAAGTGTTCACATTTTTTTGGCCCCAATAAAGTTTTGGCGGGGCGCTGGTGCCGCAGTGGTTAGTGCACGCGCCCCATGTATGGAGGCTGTTGTCTTCCAAGCGAGCAGTCCGGGTTCAAATCCAGCCTCTGGCTCCTTTCTTGCATGTCATTCCGCACTCTCTCTCCCTGATTTCCGACTCTATCCATCGTCCTATCTCTCAATTAAGGCACAAAAGCCCAAAAAAATAATCTTAAAAAAAAAGAGTTTTGGCAATCCGTCAGGCGACCACACAGGAAGGGAAAGCAGGGATTGGCTCGGACTGGGGACATAGTTGAGCTGTGGAAGTAATGCTTTGAGGAACTCCTGAAACCAGACAACACATCCTCCCATGAGAGTCAAAAAGCTCCACAGTGGCAGGGCACCAGGTATAGATGAGATTCACCCTGAGATGCTGAAGGCCCTGGACATTATTGGGCTGTCATGACTGACACACATCTTCAGTGTTGTTTGGAGGTCTGGGACAGTGCCTTTTACCATCAGGGCATCACACT